ATTTTAAGCTAAACGTTCTGATCTGTTGCGTCAGCCACATTGCATAAAAAAGGTTTTTTGATGCCAGTGGTTGTATTAATTTGGGATCTATTGCACCCAACTGTCCCAGACTGTTTGGAATATTTATTTCTCGCACAGAATAGAATAGGTCGACTTTTGTACTATGGGGGATAGTAGATTGACATAGAGTAGAGCTTTTGCTGTTCGTTAGGCCTACTCATCTTGTTGGCTGATGAAAAGTAAATGTGGACAGTATCTTCAATATGTACCTCGGAATTGGATAAGGACGCGTGCAGTTGCGTCCCCGATGTGAGAAAGACCCGATCAGACGCTCTGGATTGCGCAGCACACTCAGGGAGAAGGGCACAACACAACACTCCGGGCCACAAAAGGCATGGATTTTTTAGGGTAAATTATGGCCACAAAGGGGACGCCGCTGTGAAATGCAAGTCGTCGTGTTCCCCCCCCCCGATCAAATGCGGAAGGGCCAGGGCTTTTTTTAATCGTTTCCACTTTTAGACTCCCGAGAGGCTGTGGCCATTGGGCATACAAGGTTACCCAATACCTACCTCCTCAATGGCCCTGCTTCGCTCTTCTAAATTAAAAACCAGGACCTCTCAACTGCTGATTCCTCTAAAGCTTGTTTAAGAAGGTAACAGTTTGTTTTTTTGGGAGCTGGAATGAGATGCAGAATAATTTTTCTGCCAGCCTTGTAAACAGCATCTGTTTTCTGGCCATCATTTGTCTACATCTCTCAGAAGCCTGTCGAGGACATCATCTTGGGGATTTCCACCAGTGCTTATTAAGACAGAGTGCACTCACTTGAACTAACTCTGACAAACACCCCTCCATAGCCTTCTGACAAGTAGGCCTCTCTGACATATGTGACTTGTTTCAGGAAACTAGGCATATGTCGCACCTCACTACTTCACAGGAGCAGCATTTGAACGTAAACATTTATTTTGTATCAAAATGTGTTTTTTTGACAGAAATGCATTCTGGAACATGTGAACTTATTATCAAACTTGTATTCCATCCATAAATACGAATACAATTGTTAAAAATTGCGAGCCTAGTTGGTTTAACCATGGAAAAAGACAGGAACCTTCCCACTAGCCATGATTGGCTGAGATAATGTATGGGCTTGGACATGCCAGGAGATGAGTTTGGATTGGTCTGCCATGTAGCGCGCTTCTGTCTGTAACGTGAGCTGTTCAGTATGTGTTGACAGTCCTTTCTACCGCGCCGTTTTTGAAAGATCTAACGTTAGCCAATCGAGAACTACAAAAGTTGTGCTACTTTTCACAACATTGATGACCTGAATTTAGCGGGCGCCATCGACAGATCAGTATGAAAAAAAGTGATGGGCTACTGTCTGCACACGCCACGGTCAGTATGAACCGGAGTGACTTGACACAAAGCTGGCCAAACAAGATGTAGCTACAAACAAAACAGAGTTAAAATGGTTCCAGTTTGCCGTGAAGCGTTCATCCATGTACACTGGTAAGAGTCTAGCTATAAGTTTCCAATTTGGTCAGAAAGTCATTTTTATTGCAAGTTAAAGCATCCTATTAGTTAGCTTGCAAACGTTAGCTTGCTGGCTCGCTAGCTAACGTTACGTGTATGATCTGTGTAGTAATATTATACGAATTTAGAAACCATTTGCATTGCTAGTTATAGCCTAATGTTAGCTAACTAACATTAAACATAGTTTGTTAGCTTTAGCTACCTGCAGATTCATACTACAGCTATGACAATGTTTGTATTGGTAGTAGTATAAGTTGGGGTTAGCCGGTTCATTGTTTAGCTAGCTAGCTACCTACAGTGAGGGAAAAAAACGTATTTGATCCCCTGCTGATTTTGTACGTTTGCCCACTGACAAAGACATAATTTTAAATGGTAGGTTTATTTGAACAGTGAGAGACAGAATTACAAAAAAAAACAGAAAAACACATGTCAAAAATGTTATAAATTGATTAGCATTTTAATGACGGAAATAAGTATTTGACCCCTCTGCAAAACATGACTTAGTACTTGGTGGCAAAACCCTTGTTGGCAATCACAGAGGTCAGACATTTCTTGTAGATGACCACCAAGATTGCACACATCTCATGAGGGATTTTGTTCCACTCCTCTTTGCAGATCTTCTCCAAGTCATTAAGGTTTCGAGGCTGACGTTTGGCAACTCGAACCTTCAGCACCCTCCACAGATTTTCTATGGGATTAAGGTCTGGAGACTGGCTAGGCCACTCCAGGACCTTAATGTGCTTCTTCTTGAGCCACTCCTTTGTTGCCTTGGCCGTGTGTTTTGGGTCATTGTCATGCTGGAATACCCATCCACGACCCATTTTCAATGCCCTGGCTGAGGGAAGGAGGTTCTCACCCAAGAATTGACGGTACATGGCCCCGTCCATCATCCCTTTGATGCAGTGAAGTTGTCCTGTCCCCTTAGCAGAAAAACACCCCCAAAGCATAGTGTTTCCACCTCCATGTTTGACGGTGGGGATGGTGTTCTTGGGGTCATAGGCAGCATTCCTCCTCCTCCAAACACGGCGAGTTGAGTTGATGCCAAAGAGCTCCATCATTCAGATGTTCATTGGCAAACTTCAGACGGCACTGTATATGTGCTTTCTTGAGCAGGGGGAGGTTGCGGTAGCTGCAGGATTTCAGTCCTTCACAGCGTAGTGTGTTACCAATTGTTTTCTTGGTGACTATGGTCCCAACTGCCTTGAGATCATTGACAAGATCCTCCCGTGTAGTTCTGGGCTGATTCCTCACCGTTCTTATGATCATTGCAACTCCACGAGGTGAGATCTTGCATGGAGCCCCAGGCCGAGGGAGATTGACAGTTATTTTGTGTTTCTTCCATTTGCGAATAATCGCACCAACTGTTGTCACCTTCTCACCAAGCTGCTTGGCGATGGTCTTGTAGCCAATTCCAGCCTTGTGTAGGTCTACAATCTAGTCCCTGACATCCTTTGAGAGCTCTTTGGTCTTGGCCATGGTGGAGAGTTTGGAATATGATTGATTGATTGCTTCTGTGGACAGGTGTCTTTTATACAGGTAACAAACTGAGATTAGGAGCACTCCCTTTAAGAGTCAAATACTTATTTCACTCCATTAAAATGCAAATCAATTTATAACATTCATGACATGGGTTTTTCTGGATTTTTTTGTTGTTATTCTGTCTCTCACTGTTCAAGTAAACCTACCATTAAAATTATAGACTGATCATTTCTTGGTCAGTGGGCAAACATACAAAATCAGCAGGGGATCAAATACTTTTTCCCTCACTGTACATAGACTTGGAATCACAGGCCACTTTAATAATGGAACACTAGTCACTTTAATAATGTTTACATATTGCGTTAATCATCTCATATGTATATACTGTATTCTATTCTACTGTATTTTAGTCAATGCCACTACGACATTGCTCGATCTAAAATTTCTTAATTCCATTATTTTACTTTTAGAGTTGTGTGTATTGTTGTGAATACTACTGCACTGTTGGAGCTAGGAACACAATCATTTCGCTACACCCGCAATTACATCTGCTAAATATGTTTATGTGACCAATAAAATATGATTTGATTTGTAAGGGCTATTTGACCAAGGAGAGTGATGGAGTGCTGCATCAGTTGACCTGACCACCACAATCACCCGACCTCAACCAATTGAGATGGTTTGGGATGAGTTGGACCGCAGAATGAAGGAAAAGCAGCCAACAAGTTCTCAGCATATGTGGGAACTCCTTCAAGACTGTTGGAAAAGCATTCCTCATGAAGCTGGTTGAGGGAATGCCAAGAGTGTGCAAAGCTGTCATCAAGGCAAAGGGTGGCTACTTTGAAGAATCACAAACCTAAAATATATTTCTTTAACACTTTTTTGGTTACTACATGATTCCATATGTATAATTTCATAGTTTTGATGTCTTCACTATTATTCTACAATGTAGAAAATAGTAAAAAGAAAAGAAAAACCCTTGAATGAGTAGGTCTCCAAACATTTGACAGAAATGTTTTGGTACCCTTCCCCAGATCTGTGCCTCGACACAATCCTATCTCGGAGGTTGAATTCCTTGACATGTTGTGTAGTTGTATTGTATGAGTGTGATCATGATTTGTTACAATGCTTAATATTTGTGTTACGTTGTGTGTTCATTGTTCATCAACAACAACACAAAAATCTACAAACAAATTTTCTGTATGGCCAAGCCATAAATATATCTTAATAATATTTATGCCAGTTAGACTGTCATTTTGGTATCAGGGACAGAGTTCTGTGTCTTGTCACAGTGCTGTGTTGATAACAGATTCAGCTCAGTCCAAACATCTTGGCAGCCATTGAGGCCTGGTCACAGCTGCCAGATTAGATTACAGGATTTTTATTACTGTGGATTGGCGCTAATATAATTTACCAGTTTTCCAGTCAATAAAACAGGGGTACCAATAAACGGATGGGGGGGGAGAGCGAAAGACAGAAAGAGAGAGAAAGGGTGTCTGGTAAAAGGAGAGCGTGATGGAGTGAAGGAGGGAAACTTGAGACGGCGGGAGAGGGAGAGATGCAACACACTTTCTTCCCTCCTTCACGCTCTCCTGTGGATGGTTACTCACTGGGGAGAGAGGGAATCAGTAGCTTGTGTGTGACACGTGACTCTTATTGAGATATTGAAATTCTGCCACATGGGAGTTTCAGGTTTGTGGGCTGTGATCTTTCTTGGTTTTAAAACGCACCGTGAGACAGACAGGCAGACAGTAGTTCAGAAAGACTATCTGGAGAGAATCCTCTCACGTGGATTTTTCCAGTTGATGAAATCGGCACGTTATAATAAGCCGCAGCAAAGAGAAGACGCTACACGTTTCTCGAGGTGATTCGCGCTTCAGAACTAGGAATGTGAAAGGTTTTAAAAACCAAAGCAATCCAAAGGAAAGCATTTAATGGTATGAAGGTTGTGTAATATAATATATATATATATATATGTGTGCGTTACCTACCTCACAGCTCTGCCACCGGTTTGGAATGTTGGGCCGTAGCTTCTGTTCACACACCACCCTCCTCATCTCCTCCACAGAGGGGTCTGACTGCACCAGGTCATGGTACGGCAGCTGGTAGTCTTCAACGATGCCTGACGCAAAGACACGTCAGACGCGTTAAAAATACATCACAATAGCTGACAGAGCGCAAGTACAAAGAAAATGGTATTAATCCTCAAGGGAAATGTGTGTTTTGCCCTCTGCACAACACACATCAAAAGTAGATCACGTACTTCTCACGAAATGAATTGTGAGCGATTTTTATATTATACTGAACAGAAATATAAACGAAACATGTAAAGTGTTGGTCCCATGTTTCATGAGCTGAGTATTTCTGTCTGTAATAAAGCCCTTTTGTGGGGAAAAACTCATTCTGATTGGCTGGGCCTGGCTCCCCAGTGGGTGGACCTGGCTCCCAAGTGGGTGGGCCTATGCCCTCCCAGGCCCACCCATGGCTGTGCCCCTGCCCAGTCATGTGAAATCCATAGATTATGACCTAATGAACTTATTTCAATTGACTGATTTCCTTCTATGTACTGTAACTCAGTAAAAATCCTTGAAATTGTTGCATGTAGCGTTTATATTTTTGTTCAACACAGCCAGAGAATTAGCTAATGAACGAATAAAACTTGCTATGTGACATTATCATATTACTCACCAACTGTTGTTATCGGAGGCAACAATCAATAATTCATTACCACTGCTGAAGTTATTAAATTAAGGGACGTTGATAACTGAGTGACTATCGGGGGACCAACACACGTACCTGCCAGAGAGCATCTACTGGCTATCTCCCAGAACACCAAGCCCATGGCGTAGATATCTGCCCTCTTAAACGACTCAAAATGCTTCATGTTTATCGAGTCGTCTAGCACCTCCGGTGCCATATACCTGGAGAGAGAGAGACCGTAAGGTTGGTTAGATACTACAGTAGACACACACACACTTGTTTTACTATCCTTGTGGGGACCAAACATTTGATTCCAATTCAAAATCGTATTTGCCCTTAACCTAACCCTAACCCCTAACTCTTAATCTAACCCTAATTGTAACCCCTAACCGTAAGCCTAAAATAGCCTTTATCCTTGTGGGAAGTCTGGGGACCGGTAAAATGTCCCCTTGCCTGTATTTCCCTTGTTTTACTATTCTTGTGACGAATCCTGGGGCCTCATTTATCAACATACATTTGTTATGAAATTCTGCCATATGTGGAGATTCTCGGATTTGCGGCACCACAAATTATTGGGATTTATCAAACTGTCGCACGCAACATATACGCATGTTTTCATTGATAAAATCAGAGCCATATTATATGTGTGGCCGTGAACGCTACAACCGGCCTGAAAAAAGCCCTCCATTCACCTTTTATGGTAACAAAAACGCCCTAATTTTCTGTATTATTTGGAGATGTTGGAACTGGGCCATGATAGTTTCTAAAATAAATTGCGATGGCAAAGTTCATCACATTTCTGTAGAGGTGTGGGCAGAACGTTTTAATTGTTCGCAGTGATTCATATGCCGCCTATAGCGAGCACCAAACACTGGCCGAGCATTCTGCAAGATTTTTATTTATTTTATTTTATTTTGAGCAATTTAAATGCTACAGCCCTATTCAGGTCCCTTCTATGCAAAAGACGAATTGTTGTTCAATATTTTGTTTATTTATGCATGATTGTGTTTCCATCTCCTGCCTTGGTATAGGCTCTGAGAATAAATAGGTCAGGCTATGATGTCACGCTCCTAATCCTACTGCAAGGCAATACCGTAGCCTACCTACTGTCAAGGCTATATACTTTTGAACATGTTTTGGCTATTTAATAAGCGATTGATAAATGGTAGTCTAGTATTTGTTTTGGCTATTTAGTGAGCGATTGATAAATGGTAGTCTAGTATTTGTTGTGTAGCAGGAATAATTTAAACCAGCTGTGTCAGAAAAGGAGAGACATGATTATGATTAAATAAAACATATTAGACGACATGCGATTTGATTTATTAGGAGGATCCCCATTAGCCGACGGCAATGGCGACAGCTAGTCTTACTGGGGTCCGACACATAACGAAAAAGACATTACAGACATCGAGCATAGCCTTGCTATGGAGAGGCAGCCATAGGCAGACCTGGCTCTCGAGAGATGACAGGCTATGTGCCTACTGCCCACAAAATGAGGTGGAAACTAAACTACACTTCCTAATTTATGGCCATATTAGAGAGACATATTTCCCACAGATCAACACAGACCAACAAAGAATTTGAAAACAAATCAAACATTGATGAACTCCCATATCTGTTAGGCGAAATACCGCAGTGTGCAATCCCAGCAGCAATATTTATGGCCCGTTGCCATGAGAAAAGGGCAACCAGTGAAGCACAAACGAAATTGTAAATACAACCTAGATTTATCTGTTTTTTCTCTCTTTCATACTTCAACTACCTGTTACAACACTGTAAACAGACAATATTATAACATTTGAAACATCTATATTATTTTAAAAGGTTTGTTTAATGAGTGTAATGTTTACTGATGTTTCCCTTGTTAATTTCCCTTTTATTGATTGTCTATTCCATTTGCTTTGCCAATGTAAACATATGATTCCCATGCCAATAAAGCCCTTTGAATATAATTAATGGAGAGAGGGAGAGAGAGAGAGGAGGGGGGAGGAAGAGGAGAGCAAGAGAGAGAAGGAGAGGAGGTGAGGGAGAGGAGGAGGAGAGCAAGAGAGAAGGAGTGGAGGTGAGGGAGAGGAGGAGGAGAGCAAGAGAGAGAAGGAGAGTGAGTTGGAGGGGGGAGGAGGAGGATGAGAAGCAGCTTCTGGAGAAGGAGAGGAGGTGATGGGAGAGGAGGCGGAGGAGAGCAGAGTAGGAAGAAGAGATTGGAGGAGGAAAGAGAAGGAGAGGAGGTGAGGGAGAGGAGGAGGAGAGCGTGAGGGAGAGGAGGAGGAGAGCAAGAGAGAGGAGGAGGAGGGGATGGGGGAGGAGGAGGAGAGCAAGAGAGAGAAGGAGAGGAGGTGAGGGAAAGGAGGAGGAGAGCAAGAGAGGGGGGAGGAGGAGGAGAGCAAGGGAAGAGGGGACATGTCAGAAGGCTCGTCACACAGGGTTCCACCTCTAGCCTAATGGCTAGCAGGTTCCCACGTGCTTGTCCACGGCTGAGAAAAGGCCAAGTAAAGGGCAGTTAGACCAGAAACACTTGTTTCTTCAGTAGGGGTCTGTCAATAAGAGAGGCAGGATCCAACCTTCTACCATTTCAGTGTGTTGTTTTAGAGCGTGTCCTTGAGCCGACCACAATACCAACAAGTGCAACAACAACTGATATGAATTGAGCTATGAATACCATGAGATATTCATGAGCTGGGCTCAGTTCTATTCAGCTGGAATAAACAACAACATCATGCTCCGTAGTCAGCACACTGTTTTAACACAGACATCATGCTCCGTAGTCAGCACACTGTTTTAACACAGACATCATGCTCCGTAGTCAGCACACTGTTTTAACACAGACATCATGCTCCGTAGTCAGCACACTGTTTTAACACAGACATCATGCTCCGTAGTCAGCACACTGTTTTAACACAGACATCATGCTCCGTAGTCAGCACACTGTTTTAACACAGACATCATGCTCCGTAGTCAGCACACCGTTTTAACACAGACATCATGCTCTGTAGTCAGCACACCGTTTTAATACAGACATCATGCTCCGTAGTCGGCACACTGTTTTAACACAGACATCATGCTCCGTAGTCAGCACACTGTTTTAACACAGACATCATGCTCCGTAGTCAGCACACTGTTTTAACACAGACATCATGCTCCGTAGTCAGCACACTGTTTTAACACAGACATCATGCTCCGTAGTCAGCACACTGTTTTAACACAGACATCATGCTCCGTAGTCAGCACAGTGTTTTAACACAGACATCATGCTCCGTAGTCAGCACACTGTTTTAACACAGACATCATGCTCCGTAGTCAGCACAACTGTTTTAACACAGCTGCTCCATGTGGCAGCCGGCCAGCCAATAACAGCAGCCAGATAGAATCTACATTGTGGATTGGTGGGATGCTTGATAGGCTCGATTTATACAGCAGAAGAGGGTGTTATTCAAGAACGCAAATCAGGTGATATGTTGGTCAGACAATTTTCTCTCTCCTATTGAGATGAATTATAGAAGTGCCGACGCGCGTTGCTAGTAACCCGTATTGGCCTCAGATGGTAGGAACAGCTGTGTCTGTGTGCAATCACCTCCTGTGTGTTTTCCGTGAACAACGGCTTGTCTGGAGGAAAAGGGGGAAATGTCATCGATGCTGCTGCAGGGGGGGGAGAGATGGAACATTGGTATGAGCGGCGTGTTTCCACGCGATGACTCACGCCACGCCGTGCGCTCCTCGTCCATTCCCTACTGGAGTCGGAGAACATGACCAGTTTCGCTGCACGTTCACCTTTTCACCTATGATGGTGAGTGGCAGCTGTGAGAGCCAGGATTGGCTGCTCACGCTCACTACAAATGACCGCCACCCTGGGGCTTCAGTTACCTTTGAGTTTCCCGCTCTGTGGTTGGGGGCTCGACAGCACTATGGAGCCAGAATGGACAACCTGTTTCAAGGAACCTCCAACCTCTGCCATTACAACGAGCTGTGGGAGCCGGAATGGCATCTCTCATCACATCATTAAAAGGGAATGACAGCTCGCGGAGCAGGTATGACCCCCTCCTGTTGCCTTTTGATTCCTGCTCCATGGTCGAGGGGAGAAGTTTGAAGTCGCCACTAACCACATCAAAAGAGCCGGCATGGCAGCTCACTCTCATATCAAATTGCCAGCCCAAATAATAGGCCTAATAAAGCCTGAATGGGGGGGATCCAGTTACCTTTTGGTCCCCACCCTGTGGTTGGGGGCGATGTCGATGGTGTCGGTGGCGGAGTCGTGACGCACGGCCAGGCCCAGGTCGGCGATGCAGCACGTCCCGTTCTTCTTCACCAGGATGTTCTTCGATTTCAGATCCCTGTGGGCGATGGCCGGCTTCCCTGGAATTTATGACATAAAGGGGAGAGGAAGAGGAAGAGCGAGAGGAGAGAGAAGAAAAGCCTTAAGATTGAGAGCTCACTGACGCAAAGAACGTGATTGTATTTGACATGTTGGAGAGGGAGGGGGGGCAGGGTCTCAGCAGTCTTAAGTGGTGTCTCTACTTTCTCCTTCCATCCACACCGATGTGAAAGAACTGGACAGCTATAAGCACATTGGTAGCTTTTATTTATGCTGCTTCATCTCATATGAAAAAAAGAAAAAAATGGACTCCATAATATGGACCTGCATATCAAACATTGCCCTCAGAACAGCTTCAATTCGTCAGGGCACGGACTCTACAAGGTGTCGAAAGAGTTCCACAGGAATGCTGGCCCATGTTGACCCCAATGCGCCCACAGTTGTGTCAAGTTGGCTGGATGTCCTTTGGGTGGTGGACCATTTTTGAAACACACGGGAAACTGTTGAGCTTGAAAAACCCAGCAGCATTACAGTTCTTGACACAAGCCTGGCACCTACTACCATACCCCGTTCAAAGGCACTTAAATATTTTGTCTTGCCCATTCACCCTCTGAATGGCACACATACACAATCCATATCTCAATTGTCTCAAGGCTTAAAAATCCTTCTTTAACCTGTCTCCTCCCCTTCATCTACACTGATTGAAGTGGATTTAACAAGTGACATCAATAAGGGATCATAGCTTTCACCTGGATTCACCTGGTCAGTCCATGTCATGGAAAGAGCAGGTGTTCATAATGTTTTGTACACTCAGTGTATGGTTCTACATATCATATGCCCTATTCGCACGGTACTAGTATTACTAGAGAACGTTGGTTATATAATTATTACTCCAGAATGTCCGTTATTCCAGAGGATGATTCGGACGGGATTCGTTTTTTTCCAAACTGCCCCCCGTAATTCTTAAAATAAATGGACAGCTATGACAGAAGCCTGGAGGTTTTTATTCTAGGTGTGAAGATATTTCAACATGTCCAGGTGATAACAGGGCCACACTGATAACTCCAGCTAGGTTGCCAAGTTTCTAAACCATACCAAACCATCTTCGGTATAGCGTCGCCTTAATATTTGAATTGAGAAAGTGTGATCATAATAATTCGAATATTATAGCGATCCGCAGCATGTCCTAAATGCACGCCAGCCTTCAGATGTGAGCTAAACCGTGCACTTGCACCCGAAATGCGATTTAAGGCTATGTACGAGAAAGTAAACGCATCATTGCCAAAACGTTTAGGTCAGTTGTATGCTGCTGCTTTGCGATCTATTAACAGCAAGGGTTGCATTAAACAGGAGCAATATTATTTTACTAAACAAAAGCATTCACTGTGAAAGTTGATACATGCAGGCCATTCATAGACAGTGCATTCGGAAAGTACCTTATTTAAGTATTCAGACCCTTTGCCATGAGACTCGAAATTGAGCTCAGGTGCAACCTGTTTCCATTGATCATCCTTGAGATGTTTCTACAACTTGATTGGAGTCCACCTGTGGTAAATCCAATTGATAAGACATGATTTGGAAAGGCACATACCTGTCTATATAAAGGTCCCACAGTTGACAGTGCATTTCAGAGCGAAAACCAAGCCATGAGGTCGAAGGAATTGTCCATAGAGATCTGGGGAAGGGAACCAAAACATTTCTGCACCATTGAAGGTCCAAGAACACAGTGGCCTCTATCATTCTTAAATGGAAGAAATTTGGAACCACCAAGATTCTTCCTAGAGCTAGCCACCTGGCCAAAATGAGAAATTGGGGGAGAAGGACCTTAAATCAGGGAGGTGACCAACAACCCGATGGTCACTTTGACAGAGCTCCAGAGTTCTTCTGGGGAGATGGGAGAACATTCCAGAAGGACAACCATCTCTGCAGCACCCCACTAATCAGGCCTTTATGGTAGTGGCCAGACGGAAGAAACTCCTCAGTAAAAGGCACATGACAGCCCTCTTGGAGTTTGCCAAAAGGCACCTTAAGGACTCTCAAACCATGAGAAACAAGATTCTCTGGTCTGATCAAACCAAGATTGCACTCTTTGGCCTGAATGCCAAGCGTCACATCTGGAGAAAACCTGGCCCCATCCCTACGGTGAAGCATGGTGGTGGCAGCATCATGCTGTGGGGATGTTTTTCAGTGGCAGGGACCGGAAGACTAGTCAGGATCGAGGGAAAGTTGAACGGAGCAAAGTACAGAGAGATCCTTGATGAAAACCTGCTCCAGAGCGCTCAGGACCTCAGACTATGGCGAAGGTTCACTTTCCAACAGGACAACGACCCTAAGCACACAGCCAAGACAACGCTGGAGTGGCTTCAGGACAAGTCCCTGAATGTCCTTGAGTGGCCCAGGCAGAGCCCGGACTTCAACCCAATCAAACATCTCTGGAGAGACCTGAAAATAGCTGTGCAGCGACGCTCCCCATCCAACCGGACAGAGCTTGAGAGGATCTGCAGAGAAGAATGGCAGAAACTCCCCAAATACAGGTGTGCCAAGCTTGTAGCGTCATACCCAAGAAGACTTGAGGCTGTAATTGCTGCCAAAGGTGCTTCAACAAAGTACTGAGTAAAGGGTCTGAATACTTATGTAAATGTGATATTTCATTTTCAACATTTTTATACATTTGCAAAGACTTCTAAAAATCTGTTTTGCTTTGTCATTATGGGTATTGTGTGTGGATTAATGGAGGGATTTTTTTTAAAATTCATTTTAGAATAAGGCTGTAACGTAACAGAATGTGGAAAAGGTCAAGGGGTCTGAATACTTTCCGAATGCACTGTATAGCTGATGCGCTTTGTTCAATTTATTAAATCAGTTATTGTTTTCTTTCTCAAACCGCAAGCAACACCTGTCAAACTCAGACATTTCTCTCAAAACACAGGGACGTCGATTCGCACGGGACTAGTATTATCAGAGGACCTTGAAGTTTGCCAAAAAAACAGTAGGTTATTCTGGCTGGAATTGTTAATAATAATAATAATAATAATAATAATAATAATGCCATTTAGCAGATGCTTTTATCCAAAGCGACTTACAGTCATGCGCGCATACATTTTTACGTATGGCTCTCCTGCCATGTAAAAATTACTGCCATGGCAGATTTGGACGGGACTAAAATTACAGATGTGGTGTTTTGTGCTCGTGCACATAATTACATTACTCGACCTCCCCTAGTGGAAGTATACCATCCGAATAGGGCTAAAGTCTGTAGGACTCAAGAGAGGTAAATACATACAGGGGGTTAGGGGACAATAACTAGGCAGGTACAGTGCCTTGCAAAAGTATTCATCCCCCTTGGCGTTTTTCCTATTTTGTTGCATTACAACCTGTAATTTAAAATGGATTTTCATTTGGATTTCATGTAATGGACATACACAAAATAGTCCAAATTGGTGAAGTGAAATGAAAAAAATAACTTATTTAAAAAATATTTTTTAAATAAATAACGGAAAAGTGGTGCGTGTATATGTATTCACCCCCCTTTGCTATTGATATGACGTCTTTTACACAGGATTTGTTAATGTCTTTGATATTGTGTTGCATAGGATTTTGAGGATGAGGACATTACATATTTATTTATATTTAATTTATTTATTTCTGTCACTGGTGGGTGCCAGAAGGTATGCGTGCCCAGGAAGACTGGGGGGCCACTGGTGCTAATCTTAGGAGGAGTACGTGATGGAATATCCTGACTAGGGTGCAAGACGATACCATATAGGGTGATACTATTGTGGTTAGGAGTGACACTCAATAATGGTTGACAACTGTTCGATGGAATTAGCTTGCAAAGCAGTATATAAACAGAGGTTTTCTATGTAATTCATTCGAATAGTGAGATGCAACCCACGTGCATCTTGCTATGTTGAATCCGGTGGGGTGTCCAAATGACAATAGGCCACTCACGTGCAGCTTGTCATGTTGAACCCGGTACCGTAATATTAAATACATGTATCAACTCTCCAAGTGTTAACCATCTTCTTGCATATTGAATTACTTGATAGATGAGAAACTCATAACAGCTATGAAGCCCCTAAATAAGATCTGGTGCAACCAATTACCTTCAGAATTCACATAAGTCCACCTGTGTCACATGATCCGTCACAATCTAAGTGTCACATGATCTCAGTAGAGAGATATATATATATATATATATACATACACACACACACACACACACACACACACACTGCTCAAAAAAATAAAGGGAACACTAAAATAACACATCCTAGATCTGAATGAATGAAATAATCTTATTAAATACTTTTTTCTTTACATAGTTGAATGTGCTGACAACAAAATCACACAAAAATTATCAATGGAAATCAAATTTATCAACCCATGGAGGTCTGGATTTGGAGTCACCCTCAAAATTAAAGTGGAAAACCACACTACAGGCTGATCCAACTTTGATGTAATGTCCTTAAAACAAGTCAAAATGAGGCTCAGTAGTGTGTGTGGCCTCCACGTGCCTGTAGGACCTCCCTACAACGCCTGGGCATGCTCCTGATGAGGTGGTGGATGGTCTCTTGAGGGATCTCCTCCCAGACCTGGACTAAAGCATCCGCCAACTCCTGGACAGTCTGTGATGCAACGTGGCGTTGGTGGATGGAGCGAGACATGATGTCCCAGATGTGCTCAATTGGATTCAGGTCTGGGGAACGGGCGGGCCAGTCCATAGCATCAATACCTTCCTCTTGCAGTAACTGCTGACACACTCCAGCCACATGAGGTCTAGCATTGTCTTGCATTAGGAGGAACCCAGGGCCAACCGCACCAGCATATGGTCTCACAAGGGGTCTGAGGATCTCATCTCGGTACCTAATGGCAGTCAGGCTACCTCTGGCGAGCACATGGAGGGCTGTGCGGCCCCCCAAATAAATGCCACCCCACACCATGACTGACCCACCGCCAAACCGGTCATGCTGGAGGATGTTGCAGGCAGCAGAACGTTCTCCACGGCGTCTCCAGACTCTGTCACGTCTGTCACGTGC